TTGGTAAGCCAGAGGGCCTGCTTCATACCCTCGAGGAGGCGGCAACGCTGGTGGAAAATGTAGCAGGCTTGGTCCTTGTACAACGGCTGCTCGTGAATCGGGGGAGAGCGGTGGAACTTCGGATGAAACCAGCCGCGGTCCCAGGGCGAGAAGACCGGTCGCGCCAACCCGGGGACGAAGTGCATCTTCCCCTCGTAGGTGACAGGCTCTAGTCCGGGGATCTCATACACTCTGTCCAGGGGAGGCGGTTCAGGCTTCCGCGTGGAGCGCACACCCCACTGGTAAGCCCCACGTCTCTGGACCTCACAGCCCCCAAGGGAGAGCCGCCCGGGGCCCTCCAGAAACCGCCTTGCGGGCCCCGAAGTCAATGCCATAGCGACCAAAACCTCTCAAGCCCGCTACCGGCACGCCGCCATCTTCCCATACGCCGGATCACCTTTTTTGAGATTGGAAACAAATATGAATCTCTTCAGTCAGTTTGCCAGGTTTTCTTCCATGTTTTCTGGCACAGACTGGTAAGCATGTGCAGGGCTGCACCTGTTTGTTGAAACACATAAGCTAGTATGCCAGCAATTCCGGGTGCCTATTTCCCCCCCAATATCTTCATTGCAGCTTGAACTTTTTCCTTCTTTACCATTGGCTCTTGATCATATGGCATGTCCTGAAGTATTTCAGTGTCAAAAAAAATTCTTTTTTTATAGGGTGTCTCTGTATATTCTTTCCATCTTCTTTTGATGCTTCCCAGAGCTTTCAAGATTTTGTCCATAACACCTCTCAGTAGTGTAACTTGGGACTTGAATTTGTTTTAGTTCTTTCAGCTTGAGAAATGCCAAGTGGGGTCTTCCCTTTTTATTCTCTGACTCCAAGTCTGTGCACATTCCATTATAATGTTTTGCTTCGTCTTCTCAAGCTGCTCTTGGAAATATTCTATTTATCTCTTTCACCTCTGAATTTTTTTCACTTTGTTTTGGTTTCTAAATGCTCTACTGCAATTATTAGAATCTCTTAAGACATCCATTTTGGTCTTTTCATCTCCCTCTGTCTACATAATGATCTTTTATAATATCTTCATAATCTTTATGTCATCCTACAACTCATATTGACTTTGATCACTAGTTTTCAATACTACACACTTATTCTTGAGATAATTTTTTAAATTCAGGTCAGATAGACTCAAGGTCATACTTTGTTTCTGGTCAAATTGTTTTAATCTCTTTAGTCTCAGCTCTACAGTCAGCTCTTGACTGATTTTGACTATTGATATTTACCTTCTCCAAGCATTCTTTCCAAAGATGTAGTCATCTGATTCGTGTACAGTCCCTCAGGTGAGGGCTATGTGTATAGCTGCCATTTTCCTTTCTTAAAGAGGGCATTATTGTTGTTGTCAAGTGTCATTGAGTCTTAGATGACTTATAACGACTCTATAAACAAAAGACCTGAACACTTGTATAACTTTCATCATTTCTACAAATTCATAGAGTTTCTGGGGGCAAGCTATTTTACAAGTGGATGCCACTCCTGCTTCCAAGCTTGTTTTAATCTGGGAGCTCCACCAAACACTATCCACCATGGCTAACCATTATCACATTTGGTACGTCAGTGTCACAGTGTTCAGCATCAGAGCAACCATGAGTTACCTCTGCACAGCAAATGTAAAGACCAGTGTTATACCACTTAGAAGAATGTTTGGCCAAAAACAATTAAATCCAGGCCTCAGGGACACATTAAAATCACTCACCTTTGGCTTGGTAGTATCACTTTCTGTCCACTAGGCCAACTGATCTCTCTCTATGTTGTTGTTGTTGTTATTAAGTGCCATCAAGATGGATAAATCATTAAATGTACAAAATCCTATCATTTTTCCCCAGCCTCATTCTGCCACTGAGTTCATATTTTCTATTTCTTCTTCATTGTTTCTGACTTTTACCTTCCCACCATTAATTATTATTAATTCATCTTGGCTGCATGTTTAATCCATTTCAGACTGCAAAATTGGTAGAAATTCTCAATTTCTTCCTCTTTGGCTTTAGTTGTTGGTGCATATACTTGAAAATTATATATGTGTACATAGTATCATAACATAGCACTTAAAGATAAATCTTGGAATGGTCTTTATAACTATTACGACAACACAATTCTTCCCTAATTGTTCATTCCCAGAATAGTAAATCATATAACTATCTGATTTGTAATAGTTATGGCAGTCCACTATGTTAACTCTGTCGAGTGTACAATGACTAAGGTCTACAATTAGGGTTGTAAAAGAACAGGGCAAAGTATTGAATATTCACTATTTAAAAAGATGGAAAATGGTAAAGTAACATATTATTCAAATGACAAAAAGGAAAAGTTAAAAGTAGTGAAAGGTGTCATTTAGGTAGAAAATATCTTTTTTAGTCTTAAATGAAATAAACATGTATGTTCTCTTTATTGTGTATACTGCACTGAAATAGATGAGGGAGTGAATAATTTAAAAGCGATGTATGATAGGGTATTATGGTTATCACAAGAGCCCACAATTAAGGTTGCATAGTGGAATGTACTTGGGGTGGTGGGAGGGGTGTAGGGGGATTGTGTACCAGGGAAGGAGTGTGTCTTTTACTCTTGAAAGAGAGGAGTGAACTTGGGGGGAGGGGAGGGCTGGGCAGGGAGAGAAGTACAGCAATGAATGGATGGAAATCCAAAATCTCTGTAAATGCTCATTAAAATTATTTTTTAAAATGCCATACAGATTTTACTAGTAAATATAAACAAAAAAAAATAAACTATATTTTTTAAAAAAAAGGACAAATACTGCATAGTACCACTCTTGTAGAACAGGACTGATCAGGCTTGGGGAGAGACTAAGAAAGGTTGGATAAATTATGAAATTACACTGAAATAAATTATAAATTACATTGAAACAGATGAGAGAACTATTTAAAAGCAATATATGATTGGGTATTATGGTTATGACAAGAGTCCAGAATGAAGGCTGCATAGTGGAGTGGACTCTGGGGGAGGGGATGATTGTATAATAATGAAAGAATTTTTCTTTTACTTTTCAAAGAGAAGAGCAAACTGGGGGGGAGGGAGAGTAGGGCAGGGAGAAAAATGCAGCAATGAATGAATGGAAATCCAAAGTCTCTGTAAGCATTCATTAAAATTAATAATAAAAAATTAAATAAAAACAAAAAAATTATCCTATCGTATATTTTAATTCATAATTTTTTTAAATTCTTGAATTAAAACTAAATTCCTTAGACATAACTAAAATGTAGTTGCTGAATCTATCATTCTCTGGATTTGCTACAGAGTCAAGGGGATTATTATTAGCTTTACGGGACTGAACCAAGTAGTCAATAGTATTTTCAAACCTTTTTCATTTCTTCAGTAACAAAATATTTTCTTTTTGTTTTAATGTGGAAGAATACCACAATTAAAGGACACGTCTCTCAGCATACTTGCATATACATCCTACAACTAATAGTGGTGGATAAGCTGTAGATTGGGATAGCTGCAACGTTTGCTTAAGCAAAAAGGAGTAAGTTAGCTGGACCCTTCTCCATACACCCTCCAGCCCTAGAATTCACTGTGATGATAGATTATCTAGTTTACAGCTTTACCAATAAGGAACAAAGTGAACCAAGTGATGTGAAAGCAGAAATATAGAAGTAGCCTACATTACTGATACATTAGTAGAAATCATCCTTCTTTAAACAGAATAGATACTTACTTTAAAAAGACATTAGTAATTTTTTTTATTCATGTTCCAGAATCTACTCATTACAGAATAAAGGCGGACTTCTCAAGAATGTAGCACTATTAAGTTGGGGAAAGTCAATGGAATTATTCCTACTTTCTATCCCTGACATAAAAAAGTACATTTCTGCAATTGGTCTAACTGCCTCTAAGAAGCATACTTCTTAGAGCCCCAAATAGCTAACTGTATTGTACACATTTTGAGTATGTTGTTAGAAGGTGCTATTCTTTGGGGCGGGGGAGAAGACATACTGCTTGGAAAGGTGGAGGGTGAGTAACACAGGAGACTCTCAATGAAATTATTCAACATAATATAACAATGGGTTCAAGTATAACAGATGGTGGAGACTGTACAGGATTGGAAAAGGTTCAGATTCATTGTTCATAGGGTCATTATGAGTTGTGCTCACCTCTGTGGCACCTAACAATAACAGCAAAATAATTCAATCATCATAAAGGAGGAAACATGCCTGTTAAGGTCTTCTAAGATTATCATTTAAATAAAGTATATTGTCTTTTCTTCTCATAGTCAGCCACAGTTTGTTGTGATCCACACAGTGAAACACCTTTGCATAATCAATGAAACACAGGTGGACATTCCTCTGGTATTCCCTGCTTGCAGCCAATATCTATCTAACATTAGATACAATATCCCTAGTACCACGTCCCCTTCTAAACCTTACCTGCACTTCTGGCAGTTCTCTATTGATGTGCTGTTCCAGTCATTTTTTAATAATCTTCAGCAGACTCTTGCTTGCATGTGATATCAATGATATTGTTCAATAATTTCCACATTCTATTAGATCATCTTTCTTTGGAATGGGAACAAATATAGATCTTATCCAGTCAGTTGGCCAAGTGGTTGTCCCCCAGATTTCTTGACACAACTACGTGAGCACATCTAGGGAAGCATCTGCTAGTTAAAATATGTCAATTGGTTTACAATATATTCCTGGGACCTTATTTTTTTTTTTTTGCCAATTCCTTCAAAGCAGCTTGAACTTCTTCCTTCATCACCTTGGGCTCTTGCTTATATGTTGTTTCATGAAATTCTTCTGTGTCTTCCAATTTCTTTTGCTACAATAACTCTGTATATGCTTTTCATCTTCTCTTAATACTTTCTGGATCATTTAATATTCTGCCCAAAGCATCCTTAACTATTGCAACTCGAGGCTTGAATTTGTTCTTCAGTTCCTTGAGTTTAAGAAATGCTGAGTAAGTTCAGCCCTTTTGATTTTCTGACTCCAGCTCCTTGCACATTGCACAAAATATCATTGTGATATTTTACTTTGTCTTCCCATGGGTCCTTTTGAAATCTTCTGTTCAGCTCTTTAACATCTTGAATTTTTACCTCTGCTTTGGCTTCTTGGCACTCTAGTGTAATATTCAGAGTCTCTTCTGGCATTCATTTTGGCCTTTTCTTCCTCCTCTGTTTTTGTAATGACCTTTTACACTCTTCCTGGATGATACTCTTTATATCCTCCCACAACTTATCTGGTCTTTGCTTATTAGTGTTCAAGACACCAAATCTGTTCCTGAGATGGTTCTGAAATTCAGGTGAGATAGACTCAATGTCATATTTTGATTCCCATGGATTCAGTTTTATTTTCCTTAGCTTTAGCTTGAACTTGTC